TGAAACCACTGTTAAATTGATGTTTTTTAAGTGTCATATTTGCAATTGTGACCACCAGATGTAACTCTGATATAAATTTGACAACATGGACTACTACTGCTGTACCTGAAATTAAGTAGGCGTGCGTATTTTTTACGGTTGCATTGNTCTGATGTTCTCTCAATATTATTATTATTATTATTATTATTATTGGAGGGGGTGGGTTTCCCCATGCACCGCGACCAGTGGTCTATTGTACGTCCCCCTGTGATATTCTACCAGTCTCTATACCCTACCGATACTGGTGCGTGCCATCAGTCCCGACTCAGCCAGCGTGTTCGGCCTCTACTGGCTCAGCGGTATGTAGATGCTTCCCCCATCTACCAGAGGCGTTAGAGACTACTGTTGGGCTGGAGGTGCAGGTTTAAGTGGTAGCTCTCGAAACGTGTGTTTGTCTGTGCGCTTAAATGAAGTAGGATGACATGAATCCGTATGAGGGAGTGAATGTGGATCTCCACGTACTGCTAACCTCAGCAGTATGGTGGATGTAGCTGGCAAATCCCACGCCCCTACCGCTTTACTCTGTGAACTATACCGACCGAATGACCTCCGCTTGTCGGCGAAGTTAGTGCCAACTTTTGTTGATAGAGGCCGTCGCATGGTCAGCGCAACGGTTTCCCGCGGCCATTAATATCTGTTTTATAAACCGGAGACGCTTTTCCCTTGAAATAACTCCTCAGTTATCCTCACGTGGCGGAGTGGGCCCCGTTCCAGACCCACTACTTATCATAAAATTGGATAGCGCGCCGGAAATCGAACCCGGGATCTGTAGCTAGGAACTCTGACCTCTGCCGCATTACTCCCAAGAAAGAGTGTCCAGTACCCATTTTTTAGGAGTCTGGGTGGGCTCCAGAGCCGGCCTGGACGCTGGAAGAGAAAAGGCTTCTTGCCCCTGCCCCAATCCCAGGGTTGTACTGCCCATAACGTCGCTCTACCGACCGTGTGTGTGAGACTGAGCGAGTGGGCGCATGCACGCGCGATGTATCACCCAACTTACGAGTAAAGTACGTCAGTCTTGTTTAATCTGTATCCAAGTTTCTTTCTCGTCGCGCTTAGATGAGAATTTTAAGCTCTGTGATTCCAGTTATAACACGTTTTTCTTAATGAATGATGATGAAGTTATGTGCCTAATTATGAACACATCGCTTTCATTTGGCCTCTCGGTTTGCTGTTTGTATTAGATTGTTTCAAGGAAGGTAGGCTAATTGTTAAACGACACGCCGTATCATTTTATTATGTTTTATTGCGGATATGTAATTATGGTTAATGCAGTTCCTCGCGCAGAAGAACATTGCCTTCGTGACCCACAATCGTTAGAAGAGGAATATTCCATTTTATAATTTAAAGATGCGTTTTTGGTTTTGGGTCTGGGCAGCAGAAACACAAAACTTTAGTTACAAGACGTGAAAGGTAAAGTCCACTTGCGTAGAAGTGCTGGAATAATGTGATGTAAGGGTGTGAATTTGCCCGAACTCCCTCAGTTTGAAATAACGGGCTGTTGTTAACGCGTAGGTGCCGTAAGAGAAAGGAATGCCCTAACAGGACCAACTCTCATCTGCTCAAGGAAGGCCTTGAATCACATGTAATTAAGTCTGTTGGAGGACTGAAGAAAACCACGAGGGACGTTTTGTACGATCACCGTCAGGTTTTATGTGTAAATTTATTAATTATAGGTTTGTGAGTCTTGTGAAGACGTCAGTTGTCTGTGTTTGTGGCGGGTGTACCACAACTTCGATACTTGTGGCAGGTGTACCACAACTTCGATACTTGTGGCAGGTGTACCACAACTTCAATACTTGTTCCTCCTCCCGTAACCGTTCATTAACTTCGAGTATGGATGCTTTGACGTGTTATTAACGTGACGCTGTTGGTGCAGTACAAACGTTGTGATTCCATGGTTTTGTGTGTGTAATGGAGAGGGTTTTGGTCCCCCTTTTATTCGAGCACGTCTGGATGCCGATTCGAGAGGTCGGTTAACATGAAATAATTTTTGGGAGTCCGCTATTTTTCCAGGCATATTCCAGGATAGTGCTTTCCATAAAAGTAACAATCTTAGTGTACGTACATATATTTTTTTTAATTCGTTTAGTGGGGGGGTGGAGTCCAACTGGGTCCACGGTCACTGATTGGCCTATTGTAGCCTGCCCCGGGTGATTATGATGATGGAGAATTTATTGGAATGAAGATTGGCAGGGGAAACCGAAGTACTCGGAGGAAGCCCGCCCCAGAGCCACTTTGTCCACCACAAATCCCACTTGAGCAGACCCGGGATCGAACCCGGGCCACCGCGGTGGGAAGCCAGCGACTAACCGCTTGAGCTATTCCGCGGCCTACATACAACTTAGTAATCTCTCGTAGTTCAAAATTTGCTGTACGACGTCGTCTCCATGTTTTTAATGTTTAATCCACTTCCTTGATTTCTTGGCGAGATAACATCATCACATGGTTAGCCTACATTGCATGTTCTTCACTTTCCGCTTCATACATCTCTCAGCACGATATTTTCCGTGGCACATTTGTGAGAGTGACATCAGCTCTATTCTTTTTGCAGAGGACTGAAGCCTGAGAAGGTGATAGTCACTCGAAAAGTATGCAGTTTTGATTGGGTGGTTTCTTCGGGACAGTAGAAAATAGAAATATGAATACCACGCGGAAAAGAAAAATGTTTGAGGAATCGAAACTTCAGACTCGTGATTTGTGAAAGTTTTCCCTGTGCTTAACAAGCATCTCGCCGTGAGGAAGCATAGCGGAGTGGAAGTATAGCTCCAGTATTCTTGACCACAGCACTGGGCGTAGTTCAGTGGTCAGCTTCACGCCCCAGCCGCTCTATACCCTCGGAGAGAGTCCCCTTTACCCATTTTATAGGAAGCTAGGTGGGCCCAAGAGTTGGTATGGACACGTGGAATAGAAACAGATCTCTTTTTCCTGCCGGGAATCGAACCCTTATCAAGTTCATTTATGATATTTTCATGCCTTTCGTTACTCTTTGGTGGTTGCGAAATTGCAAAACTCCGGATTCGAGTCCAAATATACCGTTACAGTGTTCGTGTTTGAAACTGTTCGTCGTATAAAGTACATTTTCCCGCCAGTGAGTTCTGATTTCAGGGAATGAATTGCAGGAAAATATTCTGATCCTTCGGAGCACTTTTATGCGCTGTCTCACTAACGGGTGCCCGAAGTGCATGCTCTGTAATACACTATTGATTACGTGGGCAAAATATTTTCTCAAACTTGTCATGCATCAAGCCCATGCCCGCTGTAGGCGTTGATTAAATTGAATATTAATATAGACACTCCTAGGGTGTTTTCAGAGCACACCACTTTGTACGCCTTTATTGCATAGAATATTCTGTTGATAATGACGCCATTAACCAATTCATGTGTACAACTTTCCGCAGTGAAAATAGCCCTGCTGTAGAATTTAATTTACAAAGAAGCGTGAATGTGACATAAGCTTCTGCTCTCATTCATGTACAGTGCGACGCACACGCGTCATCGGGTACTGTCACTGTGGGCGTCATACACGCATCGCCGAGCATTCATGTCGTTTTCCACGTTCCTTAAAGCGGAGATGCGTCACAAACGGATGGATTAAGCAGCCCCAATATCACTTTCTTCCTGTAATCACCGCCTCTTCCCTCCTTTTCCGAATATCCTGTAAAACTGTTACAGATTATTTACCCGTGTTCAGCCCAAAAAGAAAGAAAGAAAGCCAGGAAGACTGAATGAATGAATGAATGAATGAATGAGGCACGTCACTTCAGTAGGAGGGGGCACTATGTTACAAGCCGGAAGGTCGTGGGTTATAATGAAAATGGCTAAAGACGAAGACAGGCCTTGCCCAGCCTGTATCCATGTTCTTGTAGTAGTTACGTGGATGGGGGCTCTGGTTATGTCAATGGCTTCGTTGAGGATTCGGGGACGGTAGGTCTGTGTATTGGTCATGACTTAATGTTTTCCCAAGTCTATTTTATATTTTGTCTGCGTAGAATGTTCGGCTACCGATGATCCCTGGTTTTTCAGTCTGGTGTGTGTCATGTGTTCGATGGATGGATGTCAGCTTGTTTGGCCGATTTGTGCCTTGCCATCTGAGCAAGGTGATGTTGTAAACCCCCCCTTTTTTTTTAAGTCTGTTGTCTTTCCTTAGTAGATTGAAGCTGGGCGTCATTTCATTAAATAGTTTCTGGATTGTGTGCAAGCCTCCTTTTTACAGCAGCCTCTAGATGCGGTCACTGCAACACTTTTCTTTTCCCTTTTGCTCTAGCTAGCTAGCACAAAGTTGCTCCATGTTGGTTAGCATCCCGCACCTAAGTTCAATCAATCACGGCTTCGCCTAATGCGGCAGCACCGAACCCCTCCCAAAGTCATCAGCTGTAAGGCTGCCGAAACCTATCCCTCAGCATTCGACGTGGCCTTTCCCCAAGAGTCAACGCCATTCAGTACAGCAAAATTTACATACGCCTCACATATTTCCGGTTAGCACGCGGTATCGTAGTTTGTTGAGGCACTATACCACAAGCCGGAAGATCTCGGGTTCAATTCCCGATGAGGTCATTGGATTTTTTTTCCAGTTGACCTAATCCTTCCAGCCGCATTATATGGCCCTGGGGTCGACCCAGCCTCTTAACAGAAATGAATACCAGGAATCTTCCCAGGAGGTAAAGGGCGGCCGGCGCGTAAGGCTGACAACCTTACCACCATGTATGAACCGATTGTCTAGAATATGTAGGAGCCTCGAACTCTCAAAACCCAATGGGCCTTCACGGTCTGTTAACAGGGGTAGCTTTTACTCACAATTCAGATTATCACAGTCTGCTTTTACCCACGGACGTTTTCGTTATACCGATAATGGTGAAGGCGAGGTCAGTTCCCTATCTCGCAATTACATACGTTTTCGTGTCCCCACTCCTTGATGGCACTGATGAGCACCATAGGCTTAACCAATTTGTTTTGTGTTGCAGAACAACCGCGCTACGACACAGCATATGCCTGCGAAGGAAAGACATTGAAGATCGAGTGTAAGGATGGAGAGTTGATTCACTTGATACGTGCCAACTATGGACGCTTCTCCATCACGATATGTAACGACCACGGCAACACGGACTGGAGTGTTAACTGCATGTCCCCAAAGTCACTGCGAGTTCTTCACAACAGGTACCGTGCGTGGACCCCAGGAGTTGAATTAGAGTATGTGGAAACTGGTCGGTTGTTGGTTTCCAGTAGTACGACTTCGCCTGTTCCCATTTGCAACGTGCATAATTCCACGGTTGGTCGAGTTATTATAACATGTCGCCAGACATGACAGCTACCGAACAACTCGACACGACTACGCGTAATGATAATTTTATTCTCAAGTGATTTTGTATTTACGAATATATATTTTGAAATGTTTGCAGATTTCTCTTCTTGTTACGTGACGTTATGGGCCTACATGACCATTTCCTAGGTCCCTTCACATTAAAAAAGGTTCCCTGTTCTTAGTCTGGAATGTAACACAGTTCATAATACTACATATATGGGAAGTAGAGACTATGACTCGGTTTCATAGAACACATTGTGTGGTAAAAGTGGGGATCCCACAGTCTTTCTTCAATCCCCAGCTTTGTGGTAAGCAAAACGGTGAAGATTTTAATGCACGTTGACAGTGGAAACATCCATAGGGCTTGTTAAAGGATAAGAATTTATGGAGCTTTGCGTATACTTTTCCCTAGTTAGTTGTAAATGGCTCTCTTAACATGAACCTGTTTTGTCATAATGTTATTAATAAATAATAAAATTTGCATTTGAAATCGATCTTGGAGTAGTAGTTTCAGGATGCATTCGAGATTATATAGTTTAGACTGAGACATAGTTCTGTATTCTAACGTAAAAATCAGTTAAATGAGATTACATCTTGTGCTTTTGTTTCGTGTGACAGGGATCATGGACAGCCCTTTCCATTGGGTATTACCAGGTTAAAAGTAAACGCAGGGAAAACGAAGTATGTCTTCCTGTCTCGTCTGCAGAATGCAGGGCAAAATCATGGCATAACGATAGCTAAGGAATCCTTTGAAATTGTAGCCCATTTCATATATCTGGGAACGACAGTAGCAAATCAGAACTTGATTCAGGAGGAAATTAGGGAGAATTTGAATTCGGGTGATGCTTACTACCTTTCAGCCCAGAAGCTTTCATCTTCTCGTCTGCTGTCCAAAAAACGTAAAAATTAGAATGTACGAAATTATAATTTTGTCCGTGGTTCTATATGTGTGTGAAACTTGGTCTCTGAATTAAGGGAGGAACATTGATTGAGGGTGTTTGAGAAGGATACTGAGGGGAATATTTGGACCGAAGAGAGATGAAGTGACTGGAAGTTGGAGAAAACTGCATAATGAGGGGCCTCATAACTTTTACTCTTCGCCACGTATAAATAGAATGATAAAGTCGAGGAGGTTGAGATGTGCAGGGCATGTAGCACGAATGGGGGAGAAGAGGAATGTACGAGTATATAGGATATTGATGTGAAAGCCAGAAGGAAAGAGACCTCTGGGAAGGCTAAGATGTGGGTAGGTGAATAATAGTAAATTGGATCTTAGAGAGATAGGATGATGTGGTATGGACTGGATTGATCTGGCTCAGGATAGGGACCAGTGGACGGTTCTTGGGAACACTGTAGCGAAGTTTCGAGTTCCATAAAGTGTTGATTTTCTTGAGTAGCTGCACGATTGGCGGCTTCTCAAGGAGTGCTCAGCCCTATGAAGTTACTTAATCTGTTAGTACCAGGTTTAATCATCTCAGCCATTTCTCAGTTTCAAGAAAGAATTCAAGTAAGGAAGAATGGATGATTGTAAGAAAGAATAATTGGGGGGGAGCGAATGTGAAAAGGAAATAACACTTTTATATTAGCTGTTGTCATGGAAAACTTTCCACTACAGCAGCTGGAGCCTGTTGAATTTAAATTATCTGTGCTTTCTCCGTTCTCAAAATTGTTAAGTTTTAACATTAATATCAAATACAGTCTTCACATCATATTATTATTAATATTCAGTTAGTCTCCTTTGGATGCTCGGTATAGGTATTTACCAATTTTGAGGTGGCACATTCCACCACATGATTGTAAAATGAAAATGTTGATTCATGTTGATCGATCTTTTTTCCTTTATTTTAGTTGTGACCCTTCAATTTTTTGTGCTGTTAGGCCAGAACCACTGTATCAACCAATATTTATGCACTTGATATGATTAATTGTTCTCGTCTGTCATGTATGACCCGTTGAAGTTCATGCTGCATAACTCCCACAGGGCAAAGCGTGCATTAAATGTGTGAATGCGGGTGGGATCCAAAGTTGCGTTATTTTTATCATTGAAGGAGAGACCGCATCTGTGGTCTAATGGTCAGAGTTCCTGGCTACAGATCCATAGGTCCGGGTTCGATTCCCGGCGCTACCAGATTTTCTGAGAAGTAGGTCTGGAAAGGGGTCCACTCAACATCGTGAGGATAACTGAGGAGCCAGTTCAAGGAAATGGCGGCTCCTGTCTACAAACCGAAATTAACGGCCGTGGGGATTTGTTACGCTGACCACGCGACACCCTCTATCCGCTTAAGTTGGCACTAACTTCGCCGACAAGCGGCGGTCGCTTGTTCGGTATAGTTCGCTTGCGGACTGAAACCACGGAGTTTGTTTGTTTTATCATTGAAAGAAGACCGATGATGCATTTGAACTAAATTCCTTGTTTCGTAGCTAATCTTATAATGAAATCGAGAGATACTGACACTGGCCATGGAAACTTTGATAAGGGGTAAGACTGTAATGCTCATTGCATTACTTTAGTAATATTTCTTATATGCCAGTTGGATAACATGCTGAGTACTACAGTCTTCAGCCTTAATGCAGAACTTAATATCATTAAGTAAGGCGCACGTGCATTTGCAGTGTCGGAGATAAAACATAAAGTTATCCCTGTACGTAAGCATCGTGTCATGAAAGCATGTCTCCAGTATTTAACCGTTTCAGAAGGCCTCATAACCATATAAAATTTAACCCAAACCAGACAGAGTTCTGATGTTTTGGTGTTGTGGCAGATAGGCGTGCCGTGCCTGTAGTACTGACACTACATCCAGTTTATTAGACGATAGCTCAGAACATGTGCCGAACATGTAACCTGCATGTCAAAAGGCGAGTTTATGTTGAAGGAAACAAACGTCGATTACTACCATCGTGAGTATATTGTTGTAATACACTGCTGTGCTGTAGTTTAGGGTGGCCATGTTTTTTTTCTACTGGCAAGGGCTGTTTACCCGTTATATTAGGGTAACATTTCATTATTGCCAGGTTGTCGATTTCCCCCTCCCCCCATTTTTGGGTCAGATGTTACACCACGCCCCTATTCCATGGGACATCTCATCAACACACTGACGACACGGTAACCATGTCAGTGGCAGTTGAGCGGTAGCACAAATCTCCGTGGTTTTGGTCCTCAATAGAACTATACCGACCGAGCCACCGCCGCTTGTTGGCGAAGTTAGTGCCAATTCTAGCGGATAGAGGCTGTCGCGTGGTCAGCGTAACGAATCCCCACGGCCGTTAATTTCGCTTTTCTAGACCTCAGCCGCTATTTCCTTGAAATAGCTCAATTATCTTCACTATGTTGAGTGGACCCCTTTCCAGACCTACTTCTCAGAAAATCTGGTAGCGCCGGGAATCGAACCCGGACCTATGGATCTGTAGCCAAGAACTCTTGACCACTAGACCACAGAGGCGGTCAACAGTGGTACAAAGTCTTCTGCATTAGCAGCTGATGTTCTCTGTATGGAACGTTTGAAATTGAAGGCCGCCCCACAGCGCTGGATTTAAAGATATTGATGCCCTGCATTCAGCCAATAGCATCGCTTTATCTTTTTGCATCTGTTGTCAAACCAGTGGTAGGGGATACCGTACGGCAGATTCGTGACGCGGAAGTGGTGACTCAGAATCGAATTCATGCATTGTCTTATGCGATACGTAGTCCAGGTCGTGTGGCATACCTCAAGAGCACTGTTACATAAACAGACGGTGATTAATACGTCATGAAACATTTGAAAACAGGATGACAACCAAAATTTGTTCATTAGTCGATGTTCTGTGAACCTGAAGTCATGTAGCATGAGAAGCGATATGATTATTGTGGATACTAAATCAGAAGATGTAAGGGAACGGACGTAATCTCGCTTAATATAGTGTCATGCAGTTTGCCTGGAAGGCGCGAGCAAGTTCATGGTAACTTCGATCAGGATAGCCAAAGATTTGAACCAGGTACCCTCAGAATGCGAATCTGACTAAACATTTGTGCATTACTTTGAGTTAATGGCAAATGCAACAACGCATATCATGGTTGGGTGGTTGATGTGCAATTGAGGATGTGTGGGGCAAATATTTACATGGAAAGGTGTCTGTACTCTGGACAGAAGGCTGGAATATAGGGCCTTACATGATCCATTTAATAAGATTTATACGCGCATATAGGATATTTATGGGAAAGCCAGAAGGAAGGAGACCACTGGGAAGACAAAGGCGTAGGTGGGTGGACAGTATTAAAATGGATATTAGAGAGAGAGGATGGTATGGATTGGATTGATCTGGCTCAGGATAGGGACCAGTGGAGGGCTCTTGTGAACACGGTAGTGAACCTTCGGGTTCCATAAAATGCTGGGAAATTCTTGAGTAGCTGCAGAATTGGCGGCTCCTCCAGAAGGGTTCAGCTCCATGAGTAAGTAATACGCAAGAAATTGATTGGTACAGAGATCAGCAGGTTCTACTCTGTTGCATCGGAGCCAGGCGGATATTCTGGAAGGTCTTACGTTTCGTACTGAAATGCAGAAGAAATTTAGAAATGGTGGGGGGGGGGAGCCAGAAGACGAGTACGAGATAAAGATTTTCAGAATGTAAATAACTCGGTGAAGCAGAGACCTTGAGAAACCGATAGTCTCGTAGCCGGTTGAAGAGTTTTCCTCCTTAAATATCGTAACGAAATTACTGACTGTAGACGGGATTAGGATTTTTAATCGCGTTTATTGAACTCTTACAACTCTTAACTACAAGTAAGGGTTATGCTCTCACTGTTCTGCACACTTCATAAACGACTACAGGACACACTAGGTCTTCTCAGTGTGTTAAAGTCTTCACTAGCCGTAGCTTG